AAGAGGAAAGGGAACAAGGGATGACTTTATCACCACAATGGCCAATGATGTCACCAGCTGTCATTCCCCAGAGAAGCCTCAGAAAAACTCTTAAGGTCAAAATTAGTAGAATTTCTATGCAGCTCAACGACTACAAGAACCTGGAAGGTCCACTCACTCTGGGCATCCATTCCATGTGGCTGTTCATGTGTATACTTTAAATACCCTTCAGTGACAAACTGGCAAGCCTAAATACAATATTATTCTAGCAAATCAATCAAACTTGAGAAGGGGGGATTAGAAAAGGGCCTTACAACTGAACAACTGAAATCAGAGGTGGAGCTGTGCTTGGCTTCTGTAGTGGAGCTCACTCCTGTAACTTCTGTTATCTGATATAATCTCCAAGCAGTGCTCAAATTGAAGCAAATTATATGATACCAGTAAATGCTCCTTAGAGACCTATGGATTTTAGAGTGTAAGAAGTCCCTGAACATCTAACATCAAGGGTACTCAGTGGTCCAGCAGTATAAAAAATACTTGTTTTCTTCTCATTCTTAAGAAAACGAACAAAATTTACACATTTTCACCTATGAAAAAATAAGAAAGCATGAAAGAATTTAATAAAATATGTTAAATTGGCTTCCTAGGTTCAAATGCTGCAGCATTTCTGCGGTTGTTGCTGTTGAAAAAGGCTTACAGTAAGAGGTGGTACATCAAACAACATGGTGTGGGCTTTATTTCAAGATCTGACTACACCTTCTTGGCATGCCATTTCTGGCAAATCACTCAACCTCCCTGACAGAAATTTCCTCACCTACAAAATGCAAATGATAAAACCCAGATTATTTGAAACAAATGTGTATTAAATACTGAAACAGAGCTAATACAAATTACACAAATTAAATCAGACAAAATTACCAAAGTAGCTGATTTTCATTACAACATATTTTCTAACAATGTTGTTACCATAAACATACTCAACTACAGAAATAGACAGTACAGGAGGGACCCTACCATATGCTGCCTGGTAAAGACAGGACATTGCTAATAGCATCCTAGGTTCCATCAGTTGTTGCCTGCAGATTCTATCTTACCTACCACATCTTGATGGCTACTTAAAAATTTCAAAACTCAAAACAAACAAAAACCAGTAGTGGTAAGCCCACGAATAAGAAAGCAAGAAAATAAAAACAAAATTGACTTACGAACTTACATTCTTTTTTTGTTTTATTTTTGGATAATCTAGGCAATGGACTTTTGTTTATTAGAATAATTTATAAAGCCTGTCTTGTATATTCCCCTCTACTGTCAATTACATGCTTCAGGGATAGAGCTCAAGGAAGATTTTACAGAGAGATGCCTATCCGCTGATTTCCCTGCTGGTATCTGGCACTAAACCACCATCTCAGAATTGCATGCTTCTATCTTCCAAGAAGAGTTAAAAGTGCAGAGCTTATAAGCCATCATTTGCCAAATTTTTCAGGTGGACCCAGGGAGAAGGGTGTCTATATTGTTCTTTCACTATTTGAACTACAAGGGTATATTTTCTAATGCTTACTCAATAACAACTATTAACCAAATAGCAAGAAAATTCCATACAAGAAAGTTTATGTTGTGTTCAGTAAAGGATTCAGTCAACAAACACCTTTTATACCATAACATTTTTGTTCAAAGTAAATGAAGCAGTAAGGAAATTAAAATTGTTTTTCTAGCTTTCTTCGTACTTTAGTACAAAGAATATAGATAAAAGGATTAAGAAGCTAAACAATTTTCTTTTTAATTATTAAAGCATACTTATCAGTCTTTACTAATTTATTATTTATTTAAAAAAATTACTATTTGTTATTCTCTTTACCAAACAGACAAGCACCAAATGAAAACACCTTCCCTTTTCACGTTATTATCAACACTTTTAAAAGCACATCAGGATTGGGAAAGATAGCTCAATGGATAAAGCACTTGCTTTCCAAGGGTAAGGAACAATTTCCATCTCCACAACCCATGTAGAAGTCATGTGCGTATGGGAGCCCTCCATAATTCTAGTGCACAAGAAATGACGCAGAGGATCCCTAGAGCTATTTAGGTAACTATACTAGCTTCTACGAACAAATGAGAGACCATGAACATACAAGGTGCAGAGTTCAAGTGAGAAACCTGACTCAGTAACATAAGGTAGAGAGCAGTTAAAGAAGAAACTGGATGTCAAGCTTTGGCCTCTACATGCATGCAGACGCTCACATGTACCCACATATATGACCACATGCATACATATACATATGTATACCAAATGCACACAAAAGAGCACATGTGAATTACCACAGCACAAAAGATGAGTTAGTTACATGCCACAAAATTAAGATTATGAAAACATTTTGATTATAAAAATCTATATAAACATTCCTCACAAAATTCACATAAGAAAACATCAGTCACACAGAAGCCATTCAGGTTAGCAGGTTTAGCTATAGCATTTTAGCAACACTGAAAATGTATTCTGCAGCTAAAATTATTTTCAGGTATTTTCACTTATTTACTATTGTTTTCTACATATGTACAATATACATACATACACATTTGTATATTTTGTGTATGTATAGCAGACACATTTTATAGATATATGATATATACAACATGTATACATATATAATGGACATAATCTCAAGTGTTTCATATCTCAATAGACAATAGGAGAAAATAGAACATGGGAACTGTTTCTACCAGTAAGGTCAAGAATTAGAAACTATCAGCTGGGCAGTGGTGGCACATGTCTTTAGTCCCAGCACTCAAGAAGGCAGAGACAGAATGATCTCTGTGAGTTAAGAGGCCAGCCTGGTCTACAAAGGTAATCCAGGAGAGCCAAGGCTACACAGATAAACCCTGTCTCGAAAACGAAAGATTCCAATCTAAGCAATCTGAATACTGTTCATTTTTATCATTCTTTTCTGCTGAAGACAATAGTCTCTGCTTGCGTCTAAAATCACAACTCCAATTTCTAAGTCTCATCTGTTGAGTATTGTATGATCAGAGTTTAACTTAATGAAGCCAACCCAAATCAACAATTTAAAAGCAGAGAACAGTATTTTAAGAAACAGTATTTCTTAACTAGTGGATATAAACTAATTTTTTTTGGTGAAGACTAGTGTGTACTTAAGTTGTCAAAACTTCATTCAATGTCCTTAGACAAATTCATTAGTACTGTTTAAAGCTAATACAACCCTAGAGTCACTCATTCATGGGAGCCACAATTTCAGAAGATAACCATATGCCTAATTCTAAATGTTTGTTTAAAATTTTTATTTTAAAAAAATTAAATACAACATCTAAAAATGTTCCAAAGAAAAATTGTATCTTATTTACGTAATAAATACACTATTGAAGATACATCACTTTTCTTCAAACTTCCTAGCTATCCACCTCTTTGTGGTGAACAAAAGGGCTACAGTAGGCTTGTGAGGCTCAGGTGACACAGTCATCAAAACAATACCTTCATGAGTAGTTTTTTTTTCCTATAAATGCCACAAACTGTCCTAACATAAATTGACCCCAGACTTATCATGATAGCTCTTTTTTAAAGTGTATTTAAAAAAGAAATCACCCTTAAGAATAACAGTCTTTAATAAAAAAAAAATTAAATTAAAAAAGTGAAAAAAATATAAACATAAAAAAAGAATAACAGTCTTAAAAGTAATAAAACTCATATGATTTTAAAAAAATCACCCTTTTCACACAGAAATGTTGAAACAATCTACTTCATAATATTCTGGATAAAAGGAACTAGGCAAATAAAATCTTCCTAACAACAATATGTAAAGCAGATAGTTCCACATCAATTAAACTGACAAAGAAATCCCACGTTTCTGTCTTTTCCCTCCTTTCCCCTCTCTCTCAAGCACACACTCACACAATACTAATACTAATAATAAAAATAAAGGAGCAGAAGTGGTAATAGGGGTAAGGGTTAAAAATAGAAAGCAGATTCATAACTAAAGTAAAATGCATAGAAACTGATTTCAGTCAAGAAAAAAATGCTGCTAAAACTAACTGTCCCAACTCATCTGGCCAATCTTATTTAGGGTCTATCAAAATAAGCATTTCAGGAACTAAGCACAGTGTTATTGCTGCAACTTCAGCTATTCAAGAAAGTAAGAGGATAAAAAGGCTGAAGCCAGACAGGGCAACTTATCAAGATATGATCTCAAAAAAATTTTTAAAGGTGTATGGAGGCAGATGTTGCTGCGAATGTGAGACCCCATCTAAAACTTAAAAGATCTGGTGATGATTACCTCTGTAATAGCATACTGGACCAGCATAACCTGAGATCCTGGGCTCCATCACAAAAACAAAATGCCACTGTTTTTCCCCCCAAGTTTCAGCTGCACATTTTTTACATAAAACACAGTAGCCAAATTCTTACTGGCAGTTTCTATGTTATAAGTGTCAAAAGAGGTTATCACACTGGAGTTACAGATATTTCAGTTCTTGAATTAAAATTATAAACAAGGAAATCAAGATAATGTCTTAAAATGGCTCTGAAGTTTCTCACTGTGGGCATCATGTCCAACATCTATGAGATATGGAAACTGATTTCTGAATTGGCTAACTGAGTGTCAACCTGACACAAACTAGAGAGAAAGGCATCTCAGTTGAAGAAATGCCTCCATGAGATCCAGCTCCCTATTGTGGGTGGTGCCATCCCTGGGCTGGTGGTCCTGGGTTCTATAAAAAAGAAGGCTCAGCTAGCCATGGGGAGCAAGCCAGTAAGCAGCACTCCTCCATGGCCTCTGCAGCAGCTCCTGCCTCCAGGTGCCTCCAACTGCCTGCCCTATTTGAGTCCCTACTTGATTTCCTTCATTTGTGAACAGCAATTTGGAAGTGTAAGACAAATAAACCCTTTCCTTTCCAACTGCTTTTTGGTCATAGTGTTTCCTCACAGCAATAAAAACCCTGACTGAGGCAGTTACTAAGATACAAAAATGCAAGGGACTCACTCACAGAAGACATACCCACTATCAAGGACTTACCTTCTTTTTATCCCTCATTGAGCCTTTGCCTCGGACCATTATTTTACATCCTGTTTCTGCTTCAAGTTGTTTAGCTGTAAGTCCTCTAGGTCCAAGGATTCTCCCAACAAAATTAAACTGTGGAGAAAGATAATACAAATTATTCACTTGCTGAAAGTTTTATCAAAGTTATTTGAAAGCATACATACATACTCCATCTCACTTGAAAATGAACCAGGAAGCAAAACCTAGAACTCAATTGCTTGACACATGGATATAAATCATTGTTTTACATGGAATTTCCATATGTATTAATGAGAACTATACAGAACACTCTAGGTAAAGGTATTTTATTGAGTTGTCCATCAACACATAATCTAAGGCAGAATGTATAGTAAGAAATTTACACAACACTGGATATCATGCAAACCATGAATCCTTTCTACAAAATAAAGATTGTAGGAAAGAATACTTAGGAAAGAGTACTGCTTTATATTCATGGCAAGAAAAATCCTGTCTCCAGAGACAACTGTGTAAGTGACAGTTTCACACTGTTGCTACATTAATGCTAAAACGAGGATTCTACTTCTGTGCCAAGTATACAGACATACTTTTTTTTAACTTTTTAAAAGATTTATTAATTTATATGCATTGATGTTTTGCCTGCATGTATGTCTGTGTGTAGGTGCAAGATCCCTTTGAACTGGAGTTACAGACAGCTGTGGGCTGCAGTGTGGGTGCAGGAATTGAACTCAGGTCCTTTAGAAGAGCAGCCAGTACCCTTAACTACTAAGTAATCTCTCCACACCCCCCCCCCCCAAAAAAAAAAAAACCACTTAAGAGTGTCCATACTGAAGCCTTACACTGGCACATTCATTCCACATTAATATACTTTCACTTTCAAGAGTTAGATTAAAAAAAAAAAAAAAAACAACACTTTTTTAAATGACATTTCTTAAACAATTTTATTATGCATCCTTATCTTATTTGCCTTTCTTTTTTCCATTCCTACTTTTAACTTATAATTCTAAAAGTCTAGGCAAAGAGTCTAAAATTTTTATGAAAAAGGTAGTGACAGAGTAAATTGTATAAACAAAACTTTTGTACTCAACAGAAGCTTCTTCAAGTATTCATATTTACACAATTTTAAAAGTTACTAGGAAGAGCATACCTCTACTTACTGCATAAAAACAACTAGTTTGCTGTAAACATTATGTAGCATACTTTTATCATCCTCATATATTTTATATTTACCACATCTGCTGGTAAGCGACCTGTATCATCACTGAAAATGTATTCTGCAGCAAAATTTATTTTCACTTATTTCACTATTGTTTTCTACATAAGTACAATATATATACATACACATTTGTATATTTTGTGTATGTATAGCAGACACATTTTATAGATATATGATATATACAACATGTATACATATATAATGGACATAATCTCAAGTGTTTCATATCTCAATAGACAATAGGAGAAAATAGAACATGGAAACTGTTTCTACCAGTAAGGTTAAGAATTAGAAACTATCAGCCGGGCAGTGGTGGCACATGTCTTTAGTCCCAGCATTCAAGGAGGCAGAGACAGAATGATCTCTGTGAGTTAAGAGGCCAGCCTGGTCTACACAACAAAATTGTCAAACAGTACATTACCCAAAACATACACTTCTCAGAGCATCCCCCATTGCTAAGTTACACATGAGTACAAACAGGTCAGTATTTTTGAGCTTTCTATTCATTAATCTATTCTTGCTACACCATGTTATATTAATTGGTACAACTATATTCAAGAGTATCTTAACTATTCGTGGCCATTTTCCATTCCTGCATATATTTCACTAACTTTTTAGATACTCGTTAAAGAGTGTGTATTGGGATGAATTACTGGAAATTCAAAACCACAAATAATGGCCTAATCTCTTCACTTTTTTTTTTCACTTCTCTCAAGAATGTAAAAACTTTTTTCATTGTGCCTTTATTATTTTTAAGCTATCCCTAAAAACTTAGTTTTCCTATAAGCTTACACACTTTTACAAATTAACTTTTTGTTTCTAATATGTAAATACATAATTAGTTTTCTTTATCAACCTTTACCCAGCAACACTGTTTCTTGATTACTGGTTTTTACAATCCTTCTAGGGAGACTGTTCTAGGGGATGATTATGTAAACTGCCATTGTCACTTGCAAAGCATTTTTTTTTCTTTTCCAATTATTTATTTTTCTTTAGTACTCAAATAGCGCACCTTGAGTTCATAAACAAATGTGCTTCATTGTCAAACTGCTACTGGCTTAAAGAACAAGGTTGATAAAGGTGTACGTAATCTAACCATCTTATATACAGATCACAGAAAATTAAAACATTTTTATATGTTAAACCAACCTAGTATTCCTGAAATTAGTTTCTCAACATTTTGGTGGTTAATTAAAAATAACAACAACAACAACAAAACCCATTCACTGTGCTGGAGCACTGGCTCACCAGTTAGCACTGGCTGTTTTTCCACAAGACCTGGATTCAATTCCCTGCACTCACATGGCAGCTCACAATCGTTTCTAACTTCAGTCCCAGGGAATGCAAAACTGCCTTCTGGTCTTCAGGCACCAGGTATGCATGTGATACAAAGATATAAGTGAATATACATAAAAATAAAAATGAATAAAATTTAAAGATATATACAATACATTCAGGAATATAAATTGTCTAATTTTCTTCTTTCATAATAAGAATCTCAGGTTTGGACATCAAGGTTATTCTTGCCTCCAAACATGTTGGAATGTTTCCAGCTCTCTGGCTGGGCTTCCACAAAACTAGTGCTATTTCTTCTTAAATACCCATTAGAACTCAATGTGATAGACTCAGTTTCATTAATTTTGATATTTTTATACCTTAGCATTGTCAATTTTGTTATGTTGTGGTTGTTAGAAATATGTAAATAAAAAAATGCTAAAAAAAAAAAAAAAGAAATATGTCTAGAGTTCCCTAAATTTTATCTTTAAAGTATTGATCAGTCTACAATTTTAAGGGTTAAAAAAATTTTTTTTTGTTTATGTGCATGAGAGTTTGCTGTATGCACATCTGTGCACTGTATTCAAATCTAGTGCCTAGAAAAGGCCAAAAGAAGATGTTGGGTTACCTGAAACATTATGGATAGTTGTGAACCACTATATGGGTGCTCAGTCTCAAACTCAGGCTCTCCAGAAGAGCAGGAAGCCATCTCTCCAACTCTATGATGAGGATTTTTCATTCCTTATTAGTTATCTATGCTACCAGTCTTCTAAGACATGAACTGTTAATTTTGCCACTGGAGTAGATCCATTCTAAAAACTGCCTACAACTCTCCAACTTCATTAGAATATTTTATTTGCAATTTGTGTACCTTTGTTGACCTCTAGAAACTAGAATAACATTGTGACTTGATTTCAAAAGTACAATGTAATATAAGAAATGCTATAAAGTGTTTATCTTAATTAAGCAGCACCTGGTAGGCCCAAGAGCTGACTGACTGTAGTCACAAGCAGTTGCTCTAATGAATTCAGACACAAAGGTAAAGGTTCAGTAAATGATTCATTGAAATTTTCATTTTTTGGTTGGCTTATTAAGTGATATTTTGGTTCTTTCCTCTTTATATATCCCTCTTTTAATTCATATCTACTCTTAGGTTTTTCTTTCCTCCTTTTCCTCCTGAAAATTTTAATACGCTGGTTTTCTAATCTGAAATGGATACTTACTTATTGCATGCTTCCTTCCCCCTCCCTGTGGTATACATATACATATAGATCCAAGCTGTCTTTAATAAGTATTTTCATTACCATTCAAATCACAGTAAGTTTATAGCTATAAAATATAATTTTTCATTTCAAAGGTGTAAGAATTTCCCAATTATTTTTGTTTGATCTCTAGCTTCCTATGCTCTAGACAAAACAAAACAAACTATACAAATTATCAACTCCGAATATTTGTTCAGACCTGCTTTTCAACACAGGATATAGTCAATCAAAATAAAAAACTGTGTGTGTGCATACACACTCACCATTCATGTACATATGGAGCCAAGACTAAGCATCTTCTATTGTTCTCTACCTTATTTCCTCTGATTGAATCCAAAGCTCAAAGATTCACCTAGGCTGACCAGTCATCAAGCCACCCAAGATCTGACTGTTTCACTCCTTACTGATGCCCCATGAAGCTTTTATGTGGGTGCTAGAGTTTGTCAAACTCAAGTCCTTAGGCTTTAGCTAGCCCTTTACCCACTGAGCCATCTCCGTAATTGTTGCCACAGTCAAGTTTTCATGAATATTAAATAGGTGCTTGAAAATGAGGCAAATTCTACTATGAGTAGGTCTGTCAGTTGTTCTTGTGCTAGAGATCCAGCTCGGGCCTCAGCTACATTAGCAAGCACTTTATAGTTGGGCTATCTCTAAGGTTACCTGTCCATCTACTTTTACTTTGATTTTCTGTCTTTAAAAGTTATTTTATTTGACATGTACAAATGTAAAAATCTTACAAGTACAAATGTAAAACAGGAGGCTTTTTTGTTTTCATTAATAGCTTTCTGCCTTTGATCTTACATTACTATTAACACAGACACAAAATTTGTCTGACTTTCCACAATGTGTACTTCTTGACTATATTACTTTTTATCTTTTTCTTTGTTATTTTAACTAGATTTCTATAAAAAGTATCTAAATGAATTTGCTTTCAAATTATCTATTTTTGTGTTTTAACTGATCCTATTTGCACTACATGGTTTTATCTAATTTCTTACTAATATATGCTTCCTACACACCCCACCTTTCTGTGTTCCTTTTTCTTTTCTGCCCTGCCTCCTTTTCTCATGGCTGGAGGAAATTTGTGAAGCTGCATACCTGCTCACTTGCCTTGAAGTTACATGCTTTAAAAATACACTATAAGTTTTAATCTTTTCAATTCGTAAGTACATCATCAGCCCAACTCCTGTGTGCCCCCCACACTCAAGTCCATGTCTCTTCCTTTAATCTCTCTCTCTCTGCTGGATCCATTTAGTGCTCACAGGTACTTTTCAGGGCTGATCACTTGGTATTAGTTAGGGGGCTCATCCCTGGGAAAGATTGATTCTCCTCTCTCAGGAGGCATTAAATACCTGTGGCTC